GTGAGCATTCCATGAATTGAGGTTCTGACGCCTAGAATAGAGCCAGGCACATGGCAAGTACTCAATAAATAAATGTTTGATTTCATCTGTGTGTGAAGAAACAGGTCTGCAGTTCAGCGATTTGCTTGGGTCCTGCTTTCTGTTGGCAGAGTTGGTGCTGACACCCAGGTGTCCTGTTCTTGGTCCAGTGCTGGGTGCTGCGGTGATATACAGAGCAGTATGCATAGGAAACTAGAATTTTCCCTCTATGATTCCAGTGCTATTTCTGTGCTCTGAATGTACACTGTCCACTCTAGGCGCTGTTTATCAAACCAGTTCCCAGATGGAGTATCTTTCCCAGGGTCCCTGGTTACTCTGCTGCTGAGCCAGCTGTCATAGTCTTGTGCTGTGAACCCCTAGGCAAGTGTTTCCCAGAATGCCAAAAATGTTAACAGACTCTACCAGCTCCACAATCCCACATCTATGATTCCCAAATCCCCAAAGCTCTCTAATCTGAAAGCGTTTTCATGAATCACATGACTATAAAACTTGTTCAGACCTGAGCTTATGTAGTGATAAATCACCTGAACTGACAGGAGGCTATTTATCGTTGGTGTTTCTCCCTCCTGGTGTGTGTGTCTTTTACACGTTATTGCAGGCATACCAGCGCTTTTGCTTATAGGATACTACCCCAGATATCAGTGGGGACACCTATCAGTCAGAGTCTTGGCAGGAAGAGATGGGGCACTTGGCACAGGTAAATGAGGAGAGCTTAGTAAAGGGATTGTCTGTAAGGCTGTGGGTGGGTTGAGGGCGAACAGGGATGGTGCAGGAGGGACAAAGGAAGGATTACTTGGTGCACCAGGAACTGTGAATACTCCTAGCTTGAAAGGCTAGGTAGAGAAAGCATTACTGGACTCCAGAGAGAGCAGTGTGGGAGGGAGCTGCCATCAGGAGCTAAGGCCTTAGCAGGTGGAAGGAGTCAGCTGGTAGCAAATCGACAGACAAGTCTGGGAAATATATACCCAAACTGGCTTTTCCCCTTCCCTGTAGATGTGCAGCTGGCACCTTTCTTTGATGGCACCCTACCTGACCCCAGAGGCAAGGGAGCTCAGGGATGCAGACCAGAACGTGAGCCACTGGGGCCCCACGCATTAGAGAGGGTAGCAAGGGGATCTGGAGGGCAAAAGGAAAATGTCCTGCAGGGTGTACTATAATATCCAATATATGCACTCTACCATCTTCCTGAAGCCTCAAAACTCAAGAATGCTTAGAGTTGTATATTGTTAAGTCAACAGCATATGTCTACATTCAAAAAGTATTAATACATACGTGTGGAACATTTTTTTCTTTAGTTTGCAGTTACTATTTACAGTGTTGTACAGACTTATGAATCATTTATAATAACTCCTTGGCTGCCCTGAAAGATTGGAATTACTGAACGAAAGAGTGCTATCTCCTTCATTCATTGATTTATATGTTCATTGATTTTACAGATATTCTTTGTTGATTGCCTACCCTGCAAAACACTCTGGGCTCTGGAGTATAAAGACAAAAATATAACACCAGCTCTTCTAGTAGCTTGCAATTTAGAAAAAGACACTGCTTTGCTGGAAAATAATAATACACTTCTGGGTTAGCAGATAGTTTCATCGCAAAGCTGCCTGGTTGTTGGAGGCTCCGTTTTGAGAAGGGTTTCTTAACCGCATGTGAGCTCAGTGGAAAAAACCTCTATGATCTATCAGTTGAGTGTGCAATGAGCACAGTAGCAGAGTGTGTACATGGTGCACAGTTTTGGCTGACTGTGCTTTAACTGCGTGGCAGAGTGAGATGGTTCTGATAACAAAAGCAAGGGGAGGGCTTGGGATTAGGAACACCTGAGAAGGCTTCATGGAGCGAGGGAAGCATAGAGGGTTTTTAAGGATTTCTAGAGAGGAAAATGACAGGTAGGAGCAAGGGTAAAGGAAGAGGGCAAGACCGCCTGGTGTGAGAGGGCCGCCCAGTCTCAGTAGTAAAAAAGTAATAGGTGATCAAAGTAGATTAATGAACATCTATTCTAAGGAGTTTGGACTTTATTTTGTAGCAAGTGCATTACAACAGGGCTTTTGAGAAGGGCAAGAACTATGGTTGTTTTTTTTTTTAAAGATTTTATTTATTTATTTGACAGATAGAGATCACAAGCAGGCAGAGCAGCCGGCTGAGAGAAAGAGGAGGAAGTAGGCTCCCTGCTGAGCAGAGAGCCCGATGTGGGACTCGATCCCAGGACCCTGGGATCATGACCTGAGCCGAAGGCAGTGGCTTTAACCCACTGAGCCACCCAGGCACCCGGGCAAGAACTATGTTTTAGGGGAATCATTCTATCAGCTCTTTGAAGAGGGGGACGATTTAAGAGGAAGGTGGTTGAAAGTCATCTGTTTCAAAGAAGGATGGCTGTCACCTAGGCAAGAGATGGTGATGTGAGAACAAAGACCACAGCATGGGCAATAGAAGGAGCAGTTGGTGGACATTTTGAGAACGAGATGACAGATGTGGTGTAAGAGATCAGAGGGAGAAGCCACAGTGATTCCAGGGCATCGAAAATGTGCATGTATAAGAGAGGAGGCCTGGCTGCTGAAGCTGGCATGAGGGAACACCACTGCAGTTTTGGACATCTTGAGGCAGTTATGGCTAAAAATATTCACAAGGAGATGCCCTGCAAGTACTTAAAATTCTGAATCTATAGCTCTGGAAAAAAAAAATGCTAACGAGACAAATTCCATGCCCAGAAAAAGTTTCACTACTGTAATTCCTTATGGTAATTCCAAAATGTAAAAAGCTGTAAAAATTACATGTTTAAAAAAGTTTAGTGTCAAAACTTATTTGGTGACAGACCTGATCTGAATAAATGTGGGCTATGAATAGGCTTTATTTATCCTGTTTAGAATCAGTTCTTTATGCTTGGGAAATAAGTTTGAATAAAGGGTCCTGTCCCAAACTACTGGAGGTAGAGTGTTCTATATTAAATTGCACCTGCACCAAATTACTTATGAAAATTTAAAAAAATTATAAATTCTGAAACCTATCTGGCCCAAAGTTTTATTTATTTTTATTTATTTATTTTAAAAGATTTTATTTATTTTTATTTATTTATTTTAAAAGATTTTATTTATTTTAGAGAGAGCATAAGTGGGAGAGGCAGAGAGAATCTCAAGTAGACTCCCCACTGGGCATGGAGCCCACTGTGGGGCTCTATCTCATAACCTCCAAGATGGGGACCTGAGCCTGAGCCAAAAACCAAGAGTTGGATGCGACTGTGCCATTCAGGCACCCCTGGACCCAAAATTTTAGATGAGGTATTATGGACATATATCAATAATTACATTATGAATTTATTTCACATTTTAAAAAAGTATTATCTTTGTTTTGATGCATTTAGTATAAAACATAGTAGGTAAACAGATACGTCTTTGTATCTGAAATTTTTGAAGAGTGAAGCATTCATTTTTCATACACTGATGTTTGATAAATTTTTTTAATTCACAAAATTGAGATACTAATATACCTACCTCAGAGAGTTTAAAGAGCTAATGAGCAGGATCCAACACTTAAAGGGTATTTTAATAAATGTTAGTCTTCTTATTCCAACCCCTTCAATCAACAAAATATTTCCTAAGAAGCATTTTGTGTATATATTTTTTCTTTCCCAACCTTTGAAAGGGCAGTGAAAGCAAATGTCTCTCTTCTTGAAAATGTGAAGGAAGTAGCAAAAAGGACCAGCATTTCTTGAGAACCTAACATATATATGGTGCTTTTAGCCCCACGAGTAGAATATTGTTTTCCCCATTTCACAGATGCAGAAACAGACTCTGAGATGTTAAATAGCATCACCTAGGTCACCCCTCAGTATAGGGTGAACTAACTTCTCTTTTCCCCTTCACCTAGCTCCCAGGGGAGTGTGAGAGACAACAGGTAAAACACCCTGTCTGCCCCTGAGAGATGAACTCATTGTGGGCCTCCATAGCATACTTCTGGTTCCCTTTTCATATGGTTAAAAGAATGTTGTCTTTCCATTTGTGCTGTTAATTTTATTTACCTAAAGACATATTTCAGATCCCAAATCATTGAAAATCATTTCTGCTTATGCCCCCTTTTACCTGCCTCCCTGTAACACGTTTTTCCTCTAAATAAAGACCTCTGGAAAAAACATGCATTGGACCCAGAATAATCAAGTCTAATTTTCAGACAAGCTGAAAGCAGTATCTTAGTATGATCAGGACTGGGAGGAGGAAAGGGATGTGGAGTGAGGTAAGAGTCTGGTTGCTGTGGTGGCATTGAGGGTGAGGGAGGGAGGTGTTCTGCTTGCTGTAAGAGGGAGTTACCTGCCCAAAAGGAAATCAAGTTTATTGTAACTTGACCAAGCACACAGCAACGTAATCCGGTTCTTCAATTTTTGATGTGGATGCTTTAAATGAGAGAGTGTCACATTTTCTTCCTTTCTTCCCCAGACCACACGTTGTAGACCGGGCCCCTCTCCTTCTCAGCCCAGGCACCCAGGGCAAGGTTTCTTTCTCCTGCTTCTTGCTGCCAGGCAGGAAATGTTCCCAGCTATGGGATAAGCCTCCCCCATTTGGTGGGGGGGGGGGGGGGGGATGAGAAAAGGAAAAGGAAAGGAAAAAGAAACAAAGCAAGAAAAACTGCTAGAGCAGCTAGCCTGAGCCCTGAAGGATCACAGCGGGTTTCCAGTTTCCTAGAAACAGGGATCCCCCCCTCCCCGATCCCCGATTCTCTCCTCCCTCTGCCCGCCGCCCCTCCCCGCGGTGTTCTCCCGGCTCCCACCCCCCACCCCCAGCGGGACTTGTGGGCGTGTCTTTAAGTCCTTGCTCATAGGGCTGTCCCGAGGGCGGGGCGGCTTCCCAGGGCGCCCCTGACAGCCGCCAGAGCAAGCCCCTTGGAGCTGGACGGGCCACACCGCCCCGCTGGTGACCGAGTCCCCGTGCGCTGGTCCATGCTGGTCTCCGCCTTTGTTCTCGGGCCGGAGCGGGGACATGCGCCGCTGAGGATGGAAGTGGAGGACTCGGGCGGCGTGGTGCTGACTGCCTACCATTCGTACGCTCGCTCCCAGCCACCCAGCTCAGAACCCCGCTGCGCGCCCAGGGCCACCGCCAGCCACCCTGGCAGCAGGTACCCAGAGCGACTCCAAAGGGAGCAGAGGTTTCCCGGGCTTGGGCTTTCATCTCCCAGCTGTGTTTTCTGCCAGGGCATAAGAGCACCTTCACTTGATTGTTGTTCCAACTTTTAGTGGACTGGATGAGTGGGTCTACTGCTCTTTGTATTGTCCTTGATTGCTAGTGGGAGGTGCACGAAGTCTCTGCCGACAGTGGCTAAAGTCTGTGTTCTTGATACAACTTGATAAATAGGCATATGCCTCATTTCTGCCAAATTCACCCATTGACATGTTGGAGAATTAAAAAAAAATCATTGGAAATGGGACAAGCAGAAAAGAAATTAAAATATATTATCCTAAATCCTCGAATACTATTAAAAGTTTTTTAGTAACTGCATGCCTTCTGAGTTAAAATATAACTGGAAAGATTCTCTAAAAAGTAAATCTGAGTAGACTTTTAAAAACAATTTTATTTCTAGATTTTAATAACCATTCAGCCGCATATATACATTGGTATCATTATTTTTATTATTGCTAATGTTGACTCAATGCTGTAAATGCTATTATAGTTTATTTCTTTTGGGTCAAAAGAGGTTATAACCATCTCATTATGTGTATTTCAGATTTAATATAGCATGGATCTATGTTAAATTACTCTGTATCAGTGTTCATCTGTTCGATGCAAGATCAAGGCCAATGTGACTTCCATTAACTAAACAAAAATGTTAGACTCTTAGGAAATTTCCCTGGGCAGACAATGATAAATGAGATGGTTTGATATCTGACTCATATTTAGGGGAAGTTTTGCTTATTTAAATGTGGCTCTTTATCTACTATGGATCCACTGAGGAATTTTTTTTTTTTCTCTTTTAACAAGTGGGAAGTTTGAGTGTTGATGTTCTTTTTTGCATCAAGTTTATTTTCGTTTATTTTTTCTCATACTTTTATCTTTAGTTATGTGATAATGATTACTTCTGTCTCCTCATCTAATTGATTTGTGAGGCTTTCAACAGATTTTGATTTTATTTCAAGGAATATCCTTTTGGCTAGTATCCATGAGAAGAACAAACCACATTGGCATGAGATCTATGTTAGGCTTGGCTAACAAAGACAATATTGTTTCTTCCAAAAAGAGCAGGTTGAGTGAAATCTTATTTTTATGTAAAGACAATGAGAAAGTAACATTTTTCTTCCAGTTTTAGTAGCACATTGTTTTAAAGGCTACTTAAAGATACAAACTTGCATTTGTCTTTAGGGTGCTTTCTTTTCTAAATTTAATCCCTGACTATAATTACTCAGATTATGAGGAACTAAATAGATATAAGTGAGTTCTTGAGAAGCAGGGGCCTGGTTTGTGCATTTTTAAATGGTTCTGGTCTAGCTGTCCTGTCTCTAACTCCCAGCAGCTGTCTAGGAGTAATAGCTAGATTGTGCCATTTGGGCCTTCCGAAACTACATCCGTTTCCAAAGCAAACTGGAGGAGAAGTTCCATTAACTCAGCATGTGGTCTTGTGGAATGATAATGCATGAGAGCAAAAGAGCTGTGTGTCATAGTTAGTGTTTTATCATATGGCTGCCAATCAGATTTATGCTGCTCCAAGTTTGCATTTTTGGTGACCAGTCACCCTCTCTATAGGAACCTTTGTACCACTCAACTCTCTGATGCAGGAGATAGTTGACCCCGTCCCCTGTAACTAAATCATGAGAGAATAGCTTAATTTCTTCGTTCCCAGTAACAACAATCAAAAAGCGGTTCCTGTATTTACAAGGAGCCGGAGGACACCATCAATCATGAGTCTGATAACAGAAATAATCAGGACCGAGAGTTATTAACCTTTGACTCCCTAGCTACTGATCAATACTTCCTTTCAAGCCAAGGAGCAAGATTGTATTGTTTTACTTATGAAGAAAGCACTCTCTCTTTCAAGAATATCCTTTCCTTTAATTGCTTACATATGTGTAACATATTCGTGAAGGAGTGACCAGTATGGCACTAGGAAACATGGACTATTGTATCATTGTTCTTTAGCTCTGAGTAGCAAAGGTTCAGTTCAAAGCAAACCATCTCCTTATTTTTCAAGCCTCCACTCCATCTGACTTTATGGGCTTTTGGGTTTTGGGGGGCCTATTTTTTCCCACTAAAATATAATCTCTGTCTCTATCTCTCTCTTCAGTTTTCTCTTTTGTTCACTGTTGGAATCTCAAGTGCCTAGAGCAGCGTCTGGCACATTGTCGTAGCTCAGTAAATGCTTGTTGAATAAATTAATGAATTCCTACCAAGGTTAAAAATGGTCAAGATAAAATAGCAGGATTTTTAACAGCAGAAGTCAAACTGTTTGTACCTACTATGCGCCAGCCACACACTAGGTATTAGGGATACAAAGATAAATAAGACAAAGCCCCTGCCTTGAGAATGTGGCCCTTTACCTTTCAGACAAATAGGACTTTTTGAGAAAGCTTGGAATAAGTAGCGATCTTTTGAAAGCAAGAGTCTTCAGATATCATTCTGGACTGCCAGCTTCTCATTAAAATAAATAATAATAAAAGAATAAAGGATCCAGCAATTCAGGGCTCTGCTGCTGCCTGCCAGCACTGACTGAAGCGGTCATGGCTGCTCCATTACATGCCTCCCCTCTAACTCTTCAGCATTGATGCTGGGTGGCCACTGCGGTTTCTTTAGGGATTGACATTTTATTGTATTAAAATAAGTAGCCAGTATAAAGTGTACTTGCCAGTTACTCAGACTTGGGTCAGGCTCCCAGACCCCACACATCACCTACACCATTTATTACCACGTCGTCTTGGGCCGCTTGTTTCAGGTGCTTCGAATAGGGTCCAATACCAATGAAACATACAGTAATTGTTAGGTGTATTATTGATGTTATCACTTTTAATCACAGTTGTTGATATAAAGAGGAGAGTAAAACGTTTTTGGTATTTTGGTACCTATCCCCAAAATGTATTCATGGAGGGAAAAAAAATTGGAGAACTAAGTATTTGTTGGGAGGAGAGAAGGTAATTCCTTATTGCACAAACATTCTATCTTTATATTCTATTTGTAAGGGATAAAAGAGAATGAAGGATTGTAAACTTTCAGTTCTGTTAAGTGGTTGGGACTATCTTTATAATCATGTGAATTTTTTTAAAGAGGCTGAGCTTCTAAACTCTTAATCAGAATCCAGAGTGAAAATATTGACATACGTACAAAATAATTTCCCTTACAGAATGAAAGATAGCTGAAGATAAAGCAAGGTGTCTTGTTTTTCAAAGATTTTCTAAGCTATAGATAAGAAATATATATACATAATATTTTTTGTGCATGTATAGAATTAAAGGGCCATGAGAAATTCTGTTGTTTAGTTCGTTTTACCATAAACTTCCCAAGAGAGAACAAAAATAGAAGAGGAAGAGAACCAGCTCTTCCTCAAAAACAAATAAAGAAGCTTACCAAGGTTATCCTAGGAATTCTAATTCTATAGCAAAGTTAAAACTTTCGTAAAGGGGATATTGTTTTATAATATTTTAACTATTCATAGTAATGGGAATGATTTGATTGAAGTGGAATTACTGATGATTAGAAAATACTTTATTTTGTGGAAAAAACTAAATCTAGCAACTCTTAGTGCCATACTTTTCTTGGATGGAAATTGAAAAGACATTTATTTCAAGGTGCCAGCTCTCCTTCAATTAAGTACTTATATAAGTCTATGTGAGCTTCTAGCCATATACAGAGGTACACTAACATATGGGGCAGATACTTTTTTTAAAAAATACTTTTTCTAGAGGATTCAGAAATAGTTATGGAAATAGAATTCTTATGAGAGGATAAGATATTTATGGGTCTTTTTTAATGTTACGGTTAAAACTAGAGTTTGTGTCTCTGGTTTCTTTTCACAGTGGGGCCCCTACTGAGTGTAGGTGCCTCCATATGTGGAGCTGTTGGAGAACATCTGGCACATTTCCTTTGATCATGTCATTTGGCTAAACATTTGGCCAGTTGCTCTGTCCATTTTTAACCTGCTCAGTTCTTCCTGATCGCTAATCCTTAATGTATCCACAAAAATTCAGAGAACTAGCGTGTTGCAAAATCACATTCATGAACATAAAAGTAATATTTTCTTAACTTTTTATTTTGAGATAATATTAGGCTTCTGGAAAACTTGCAAAAGTAGTTCAGAGTATTTCCAGTAACCTTCACCCAGTTTCTTCTAATGTTAACACTATGCATAACCCTTGGTTCCATTATCAAAACTGAGAAATTAAAAAAAAAAAACAACAACTGAGAAATTAGCACTGGTGCAGTAAAGTTAACTATATAGTCTTTATAACCTGATTTCATCAGTTTTTCTGCTAGCATTAGAATTTTTCTGTTGTAGAATTGGAGATCCCACATTGTATTTAGTTTTGCCTCCCAAACCTTCAGTCTCTGGCAGTCTGTCCTTATCTCTTATGGCAATTTTGGAGTTTTGTAGGAAGTTCTTCAGTTTGGGTGGGTGAGATGTCTTCTCATGATTAGACTGAAATTATGCATTGTGGGTAAGACTTCCACAGAATGATATTGGGCCGTTATCAAGTGCATCATATTAGGGGGTAGTGATCTATCTCATTAATGTTGATGTTGGCTCTGATCACCTGCTTAAAATGGTGACTGCTGGGTTTCTGTACTGGTAAACTATATTTTCCTCTGTGTGATTAATAAGTGTCTTGGGGTAGATGTTTTCTGATTATGAAATATCTCCTGTTTTCTTCTCTAACTTCCTCCACTGATTTTTTTTTCTCAATTCTTCTACATTGATGTATTTTCCCTTCTATAAAGCCCACATTCAGTATTTTCTCTTTGTTTTATCTCCTTCACCTTTTAAAAAAAATCAACCAAATATAAAAAGTGGTTTGTTTTTTTCTGGTGCGAGTTCATGAAACCTGTTCCCTAATTTTATGATAGTCTTCGGAGAAATTTTATGATAGTCTTCGGAGAAAAATAGAAGGCTACTAAATTAAATTCTGTGTTAAGAGAGGA